AAAGTCCATGTGGGCATGCAGGAGGGGTGGACCAGGGCAGACTGCAGGATCCATCAATCTCAGAACTCAGAGAGCAGGACCAGTTTGTCGCAAGGGCCTGGATCCACCACTCCAATTGTGCTGTCATTTCACGAGTTCATGTCAGAGCTGCTGATGGGAGATGTACAAAGGACCGTCCCCTTCTGGCCTGGGGTTTCAGAAGACCTTTGGTTATTGCTCTGCCTGGGAAAACCTTCCCAACCCAAGCTATCCCATCCCAACACTTCCCAACACATCTCATCCCATTCCATCCCACCCCAAAGGCCATTGCTCTCTCAGCCTGCCCAGCCTGAGGCAGCTCATGGGAGGCTCTCTGGACCTCCAGCTGCAGGACAGGCAGGGAGGCACCCAGGCTGTCCAGTATGAACTGTCCCATCAGTGCCAGTCCCACAAAGGAGACCCAGGGGCGCAAGGGCTACCAGTGCCCATGGTCCCTTCTCTGAGCCGCTGTGGGAGAACAAGGGGGACCTGCAGGAATGGGGTGCCCTGGGAGACCCAGGCCAAGCAGCCACCACCCCAATGTCTTTTCCACTGACCATTCCTCAAAACCAACCTCTTTCCCTGAGTCCCACTTGCTGATCTCCTGCCCCAAACCCATTTCCCATCTCCTGGGATGGGAGCTGGTCCAGAGGTGCTGCTCTGCTTTCCTCCTGAGACATGAGATCAGGGAACCTGAGCACGTTCCCCTCCCAGCTCCCAAAACCATCCCTCAGATCAGTGGTGTAAAGCAAATGCCCTGCCCAAGGGCGGTGGCAGGGATGGCTGGACCAGGACAGTGCAGCCTGCAGGAGTGTTGGCAGCCCACCTCTTCCCGCAGGACTCAGTGTCTGGCTGTCGGGGCAGAAATGCATTAGGATCCTGCGAAGACAAAATAAAGAGTCCTTTGGGAGTGACTCGGCAGCGCAGCCGGAAGAGACACAGCACAGTTTGCTTTTTAGGAGGTCTTTTTAGTTTCTTTTTTTTTTCTCTTTCATTTTATTTTTGGCAGCTGCAATGGCAGCAGGGAGGGAGTAAATGGGCTCGCTCAAGCCCGGATGCATTTGTGGCTTTCAAGAGGCAGAAGTGGCCGGAGCTTGAGAGTCTCTGCGCTGCAGAGGGCATGAGTCACAGCCGGGCAGTGGGGCTGGGGAGGGGAGGGAGAGGCAGGGATGGAGGAGCAGGGTGAAGGGATGGACGAACAGGGATGGACTAGCAGACATGCTGGGATGGAGGAGCAGGATGCAAGGATACAGCAGCATGGATGCAGAGTTGGAGTGACAGAACACTGGGATGGGGTGGTAGAGCTGGAGGAGCTGGTTGTTGGGATGGAGCAGGGTGCTGGGATGGAGAAGTGGAATGCTGGGATGGAGGAACAGGGAGATTGAATGAAGAAGCAAGGTTGGAGGAGCTGGGAGGTGGGATGCAGGAGCAGGATGCTGGGATGGAAGAGCAGGGATAGAGTAGAAGACATACTGGGATAGAGGTGCAGGGAGCTGGGATGGAGAAACAGGGTGCAAGGATGGAGCAGCATGAATGCCGAGTATGAGGGGCAGGACACTGAGGTGGAGTAGCGGGGTTGAAGGAGCAGGGTGCTGGGATGGAGAAGCAGGGAGTACAGATGAAGGAGTGATTGCCAGGATAACCCAAAGACCCATCACATTAACCCTCATCTTCTGATGCCAGGAATGAAGGTACAGTATCACAGTATGTTAGAGATTGGAAGGGACCTCAAAAGATCATCTAGTGCAATCCCCCTGCCGGAGCAGGAACACCTAGATAAGGTTACACAGGAACGTGTCCAGGGGACACTGCACTTGGCAGCAGGATTGAACCCCTCTGCCCACCAGCAGGACACTGTGGTGGGATGCAGTTTGCCCTGCCTGTGCCTCCTGGGTGAGCCCTGCCCCAGAGCAGCCCTGGGTGACAGAGAGCCACAGCATCTTTTGCAAGAGGCCAGTGAGCTGAGGTCCACCGTCTGGGGCTGAGTAAGGCCCCCGAGCTCAGCACTGCTGCTTTCCCAGCTCTAAGGGAGGTCCCAGAGCAGAAAGAATCTGCCAGCAGCTCAGAGCCATGAGCAGGGATGCTCCTAGGGCTTGTCTGAGAGGCTCAGCAGGGAGCATTTTAGGGAGTAAAGAGATGGATGCTCCCCAGAAGGAGAGGTCTCCTCTGCCTTCTTCCTGGCTCCAGGGGCTGTGGTGGTGGGCGATGCAGCAGCTGCCACCGACAGCTTGTGTTGCATTCTGTTTGCTCACGCCTTGCAGCTCCGGCTGGCGAAGAGAACAGCTTGTGTGGGGAAGCAGCAGCACCCTGCCAGACACAGCACCCTGTGAGTCACATCACCCCACTAGCTACAGCACCCTGCAAGCCACAGCACCCCATGAGCTGCAGCACCCCATAAGCTGCAGCACTGCTGAAGCCGCAGCACCCCTGAGCCACAGCACTGGTGAGCAGGCACAAAGCCCCTGTAAATTATCGCTCCAGCTCTGATTTCCTGATGCAAAACGCAATCGGAGGATGATGTGGTCCTCTTGGCACCATCTTCACTCTCCCATAGGCTGGCAGCTGGGTACAGCAGACACCCGGAGCATGGGAGAGGCTTTCACCATGCCCAGAGTGACAGTGGCACCAGCACATCCCCACCACCAGCCCTCACCACGCTGCAGAAATCCTCCTGAACCTGAAAGCCAACTTTCTCCAAAGTAATTTCGCTGGTTTTCTGGATGAGGAACCACCCTGCCTTTGGCACAACCTGCTGAGTAAGTGCATGGATGCATGGAGGAACCACAGATCTGGGGAGCGTGCTGCTGGGGGCAAACAAATCACACCCTTGCCTCCTGTGTGATCAGGATTTCAGCTCTTTTCACTCTTCACCTCCTGGGAAACTGCTGCTTTTCCATCTTTTTTTGCTTTCACTGGGTGCAAAACAGACGCAAGTCATCTTCTGGCTGAGCTCAGCATGCTTCTGCCCTGTGGGCAAGCGTGCCTCGGCCAGGCTGGCTCCGCGCCCTGCTCTCCTGCCCCTCTGCCCTTTCTCACTTCCACAACTTGGAAACCAAACAGAAATGTTCCCCAAGGGGGAGAAGAACAGGGCTGGGAGCCCAGGAGGGCAACTGTCGCCTCCTGGCACGGGGGAAGGTCCCCTGGGAAGCTGCCACTGAGGGTTAGTGTGACCATGGAGCGTCCTCCCTCCCCGCACCCTGCGTCAGAGCTGTGCCACGCAGTAATTCCCATCCCCGCCAGCCCTCTCGGCACTGTCACCATTGGGGCAGGATTTGTGTCCCAGCCTCCTGCATGCTCGCAGAGCAGGGGGGTCCCTGCAGTGGTGTGGGGGACTGGAGGGACCCGGGCATCCTGTTGCAGTGACACATGTCCCAGCATGCCGGCAGCCCACTTGAGGTGCCAGCACATGTGCAAAGAACAATTGTTCCTCGTTTCAGGTGTCAGCAGCTGGTGAAATGTGTCCTGGGGCCACACGGGCAGGCCGGGATCTTTCCCTTGTCCAGGATTTGATCCTGCTTCCACCCAGGACTGTCGTGTTTACAGCATTTCGCCTGGAGATCTCCTGTGTTTTGCATGGTGGATGCAAGGGATGGAGCAGAGGATGGAGACACATAACCTGACATCAGTGCTGGGGGGTGCCAGAGATATCCCTGGTCAGAGGGACAGCCCCAATGCTACTGGGTTGGGTAGTTCAACCTCCATTCCCTGCACAAAGCGTGTAAGGATCCACATGAACACGCATGAGTATCTGTGCAGATGAAGAGTCTGCAGGGCTGTTGTGCAACATGGGAGCGCGGGAGTATGTATGGAGGGACATGTGCATGTGTTTGTACATGCATACATGTGACTGTGTGTATATGTGCACCTAGGTGTGTGTGAGTGTACAAGTACAGGCAAGGGAGTGCGTATGCACATGGAAGTGCATGTATATGTGCATATATGTGTGTGTGCAAGAGTGGCTGATGGGTTTCACACGGGTGTGTGCATGAATGTGAACATGTGTACATATGCACCACCGTGTGCATATGCATCTGAGTATGTGTGCACATATGTATGTGCAAGTATAGGTGAAGGGGTGCACACAGGTGTCTGTGTGTGCATGTCCATATGCATGGAGGTGTGTGTGTGTGCATGAATGTGAACATGTGTATGTGTGTGCCTCTACGTGTACATGCATAAGAGTAGAAGTGCATGAATGTATGTGCAAGTGTGGCTGAGGGGGTGCAGATGGGTGTTCCTGTGTGTTCATGAGTATGTGTGTGTATTGTGTGTATGTGTGTGTATGTGAGTGAATATACACAGGAGTGTCTGTTCATGCAACCATGCACATGTGTGTGCCTCTCTGTGCATACACATGTACAAGCACATACACATGGGTGTACAGGGGTGCCTGAGTGTCAGTGAGTACACACCCTGCTTAGGGCATGCTGGTGCCACTGGGTACTGGTACCAGTACTGGTGTGGGTACAAGTGCCAGTACCAGTGCCAGTGTGTGGGTGGGGTGCAGGTGCCGGTACCGGTGCTGGTGTGGGTGCTGGGTTGTGCCACTGTCTGTGCAGGTGTCACTGCCAGTACCTGTGCAAGTGCACATATGAGTACCAGTGCCAGTGCCAGTGCCAGTACAGGTGCAGGTGCGGTGGGGTGTGGTTGTCAGTGTCGGTGCCAGTACCGATGCTGGTGAAGATGCAGGTGCCAGTGTTTGTGCGGGCGTTGATGCTGATACCGGTGCAGGTGCCAGTACCGGTGCTGGGCAGGTGCTGGCATTGGTTCAGATGAGGAGTGTACCAGTACCGCTGCCGGTGCTGGGAGCTGCCGGTCCCGGTGCCGATGCAGGGCGCTGCGGGTGCCGGGGCGGGGCGGTCCCGGTGCGGGTACCGGTGCGGGTGGGGTGCGGGGCGGTGGTGCTGAAGGACAGCTCCGCCCCCCCCTCCGCCCCTCCCGCCCCCCGCTCCTCCGCCGCGCCGCGCCGGGCCGGGCCGGGCCGGTCCCTCTGCCGCTGCCGCCGCCGCCGCCGCCGCCGCCATGCCCCAGCCGGCCCCGCCGCCCGCCGCCGCCGCCGCCGCAGCATGAAGCGGCAGAACGTGCGGACGCTGGCGCTCATCGTGTGCACCTTCACGTACCTGCTGGTGGGCGCCGCCGTCTTCGACGCTTTGGAGTCGGAGGAGGAGACGGCGGAGCGGCGGCGGCTGGAGGCCAAGAGCCAGGAGCTCAAGAGCAAGTACAACCTGAGCGCCGAGAGCTACCGCGAACTCGAGTGGGTCGTCCTCAAGCTCAAGCCGCACAAGGCCGGCGTCCAGTGGAAATTCGCCGGCTCCTTCTACTTCGCCATCACCGTCATCACCACTATAGGTACCGTCTTCCCGGTGTTCCTGACAGTCCCAGATACCCTCCTCCGCCTCCCGGCTGCGGGACGCCGGATCGGGTCATCCCCCACCACCACTCTCTCCCCGGTGCAAACCTTCCCCGACCCCCCGGCCGTCCCCGTGGTATGGGGGTGACCCAACCGCTCTGCTCCTCCACTACAGGGAACCCCCCCAGCCCGTTTCCGTGGTATCAGGGTGACCCGAGTGCGTGGTTCCTCCGCTACCTGGACCTCCCCCCACCCCGCCCGTCCCCATAGTATCGCGGCGACCCGCCTGACCGGATACTCCGCTACCGGGACACACGCTGCCCCGCCCGTCCCCGTAGTATCGCGGCGATCCTCCCTCCAAGCCCCCGATATCCCTCGGAAAGCCCCTTCAGCATCCTCCCCAGAACGCCCATCCCCGCAGCGGCAGGAGCATCCACCTCTGCTACCACGAAATTCCCGCTCGACCTCCGCCCGTCCCCCCGGTACCGGGGCGACTCTCCCGAAGGGGAGACTCTCTACCACCGGAAAATCCCAGCCCGGATCCTCCCGAAATCTCCCTTTCCCGTAGCGTCAGGGCTACCCGATCTGCCCTTAGCTCCGCTGCCCTGGGAACCCCCCGCCCGGACCTCCGCCCATCCTCACGGTATCGGATCTACTCGGCTAGTCCCGCTTCCCGGCCCTGGAGCCCTCACCGGACACTCCCTTTCGAGCACATCCCCGAGGCATCGGGAATCCCTCCTGCCCACCCTCTCCCACCTCCTCGTCCTAGGGGAACATCAACGTGCCCATCCCCGTGGTCTCTGGTGTCCCCGCTCTCTAGGCACCCCTATCCGTGCAGCCTCTAGGCTTCTCACCGTCACATTCCCCAGTTTTGCCCCCCCCCCCCTTCACGGACCGGGGGCCCGTCACCCCCACTCCATCACCCCACTCCAGCTTAGGGGGGCGGTCTAAGCTAGGACCTGCGGGGGGCAGCGAATGCGGGGGGGGGGGGGGGGTGGGGGTGGGTGCTGTCCCAGTAGGGTTGTGGGACGGAGGAGGAGGAGAGAGGTCCCCTGAGGACAGGGGTCCCTCGCAGCCCATCTCTCTGGGATGGATCCCCAGACCGGGGGACCCGGTGCCCCCTTGCTTGCACTGATTCACTGCCCTAACAAGGGAGAGATCAGCGTTGCACCCCCATGCTCAGAGTGCTCCTCCTGCCCCAACCTGGGGATGCTCAGGGTGTCAGCAATCGGGGTCCCTGAAGAGATGCTATTGGAAACTGCTGGGGGGGGGGGGGGGCGTCCCCCAGTTTGGGAGAGGGGCTGAAGGAGCTACGACGGCTGCAGGGTCCCCCAGCGTCCAGACCGGTTGGATTGCCAGCCCATCTGTCCTTGGGTGCCCCCGATGGGGACCTGCCATCCCCTAGTCGCCAAACTGGGTGGCTGCTGGTTCCCGAGGCTCAGACACGGGCGTCGGGGTGTTGGTTCCCGGGGCTGACACACGGGTGTCGGGGTGGCCGTGGCTGAGTAGCGGCAGGGTCTGGCCCTTCCCTGCTGGCGGGAGCAGCTGGGAAAGGCTCTGGAAGTGAAGCCAAGCAGCTTATGTTTGACGTGCGAGGGAGGAGGAGCGGGCAAGGGGGTGCGCGGGGGGCTGGGGCGAGGAGCGAGCGGGAAGCGAGCAGCGTCTCTCTAGCCCACACAAAGGATGCTGCAGTGACGGAGGAAGGAGACAAAGCCGGGCCGGTGGGCACGGTCCTGAGGCTGTAGCTCAGCACCGAGCTGCGGGCAGGCGTGGGGGCTCTGCCATTCACACCCCTTGCGCTCCCCTACCTGCAGCTGCCCGGACCTCGAAGGGATGGAGGAGAGGTGGCTGAGCCCTGATGCAGGCGTTCCACCCCAGCAAAGCATCCTGCCGCCTGCAGAGGGGGTTAAAACCCCGATCCCTTCATTTGGGGTGTGTTGTGGGACCTCAGGAGCTGCTCTGGGGTAGGGGTGATGACACCCAGACCCCCAAAACGTGTCTGGATACAGCAGAGAGGGAGGGGGATGCAGAGGGAATGTCCCCAAACTGGGCTCTATTGCTCTGCTGGCATTAAACACTTCTCTCCCAGCAGCTTCAACCTTTCTGTGACATCCAAGTGTCCATAGGGAAGGGGCACAGACATAACTAGGTACAGCCATGGTGGTTTCATCAAAGTCTGAGGAATCAGAAGACAGGTAGCCTGTGGCAATGGAGCTCGAGTGTACCAGCAGCAAGAGCAAAATCATCAAAAGCCACTGCTGTCAGGGAAGACAGGAAAGAAAATCCCATTATTCCCATGAAATGGGATTTTCCAGGGGTGGTGGGGGAGGCATTCTCCCAGGAAATCCCCCACCGGCCCCTCTGTAAAGCTCCCGTTGCAGTTGGGGATGGTGAAGAGTCAGGCTCCCGTGGCGCTCCGGAGGCAATCAGGATGTCCATGCCAGGGCCAGCTTTAAAATGGGAAGAGGGGAAAGCCGGGAGGGCGACAGGTCCCACTCGGAAAGCTTTTCCTACATTTCAGGGCTTTTGAGGCTCTTTTCCATTCTCCGGGAAGGGAGCCAAGAGGCGGCTGCTCTGAAGGTCTCCCACAGTCCCCACTCCCTCCACAAGGCTGCTCTGCACCCTGATAGTGGGGTGTAGCCCCACCAGTGCCTGGGGACGCCCAAAGCACCCCAGAGGGGGACCAAGGACTGGAATGCTTAGGTTTGCTGTCACCCACTCTGCAAAGCCAGGGGGCAAAGGGAGCTGCAGGGCTTGCAGGGACGGCATTCGCGTGTCCTCACAGCAGAGCTGGTCCCCAGGGTCCCCTTGTGGGATGTCAGCATCAGCAGGACGTGTCCCCTGTCACCTCCATCCCTGTCCCCACACCACAGGCCTCCATGCTCCAGGGCTGGCTGTGATGGTTCTCTCTGGATCACTCCCAAAAGACACATCCCCTCCTCCTTCCTCCCTGGCTCGCTGTGTGCAGAGAGCGGCCATCTGGGCCGGGGCAGGTGGCAATGCCACCATGGTGTCACCATCTGTCACAGCCCTCCTCCTGCCCCACTTGTTTATCAACGGAGCAGGGGCCCTGGGGTGAGACCAGGTCCTCACTGATCCCCTTCGGTATGGGCTGTCCCTGTCTGTCACCCCATCTCCCCCGTCTTGGGCTGCCCCCTACGGTGGCAGTAGGGCTGACCTCACTCCATCACATTCATACAGGAAGCCTTCTTACCTTCCAGCACCAATGGGAAGGGAAGGACCTCACTTCTCTGGCTTTGGGAGATGCAGCAGAGGGGAGTGTCTCAGGGAGGGCATGGGAACCACTGGAACAAGGAGGTTGAAGCAGTCTTGGGGCTGCAGTGGGGCTGGTCAAAGGGAACCCGTTCCCTCTGGACATTTCTGTTCCCATCCTGCACTAGCCATGCCTGCTAAAAGAGATAGCAGTAGAAATTAGTGCTGGCACATCTGATAGGTTTCAGAGTTAACGTGCCGGAGGGAAAAACTGTCTCACTCTGTTCCAGGATTGGGATATCTCTCCCTTCAGCCCAGTGCCCCACGGGACGCAATGCCCAGTGTGTGACCCCAGTCCCACTACAGGCAGTGGAAAGGGACACCTCTTCCAACCCTGTGTCTCCTTGGTCGCTGGGGCAGGGTGGTCCTTTCAGTGCCCCAGCCATGCTGCAGAGGCTGGCAGAGAGCAGCACTGGGCAGCTGGGATCGCTTTCCTTCCCCTCCAGTTAACCACCAGGCCACCCCTCACCTGTGGTATGCTGGTATTGCTCATTAGGGTGCTCACTCTGAAACCTAATGAGGGTGAATGGGAAGATGGACTGTATGCCCAGAGACCAGTCATCCCTGAGCCCTTCCCAGCAGCTATGTGCATTTTAGGGGTGCAGCCTGCCCTGCAGGGGCTCAGTGCCTTTGCCAAGGAGTGGTGGCTCCAGCAAACCTGTGGTGTGACAGCATGGGGTGGTATTGTGGGTGTCCTCTCCCACAGGATTCTTCCCATGGACCCTCTGAGCGGGGGGCTTGACCCTGCTGGCCGGATCACTGCCCCTTTGTGAGCATCCTTCCCTCCCTCCCATCCCCCGCTCCTGCCCAGGCTATAAATTCCATGCTCCTCTCCATCCCAAAGTGATAACAGCAATTAATACCCGCTCCCTCCCTGCCCCCCTGCCTGGCCTCTCCCAGCTGATGCCTCATTAAACTCGCCAGCAAAGCCTGACTCAGAGCAAGGCATAAACACCATGCGCAGGGCAGAGATGCTCCAAGGCTAAGGGGGGGGGGGGTGTCAGCCAGGACGGGGCCCAAAATACTCAATTTCTTTGGGTTTGGGTTTTTATTTCCCCTGGTTTCCAAGCCCCAGGTCTGGCCGCTTCGCCTCGGTGCTGCCAAGTCTAGTGCCAAGAGGGCAGCCTGGAGCTGGAGGCTGCGGGAGAGCCTTGCTCTGCTGGGGTGTGATTTATGGGCAGGCTTAAATATTTATCAGGCGGCTCTCAGGCTGAAGTGACTGCGGCGCGGGATTTACAGCGGGCAGCACCACCTTGGATAAATCACTGCAGGAGGGTTAATTGAAGGAGCAAGAGTGGAGCGTGCTGCAGCGGGGATGGGGTCTGCCTGCGGAGAGGGGAGAAGGAGAGTGGCCATGGGTGCATGGAGCTGGCTGCTGGTGCATGGTGATGGTGCACATTCTGGGTGCCTGTGAATGGTGCTGGGTGCACCCTCCACACCTTGCTCTTACCCAAGCAAAGCTGGGCACCAAGAGGAAGGAGCCACATCCTGCTTTTCACACTGGAGACCCTGGGTGAAGGCAGCCAGGAGGGTTGGTGTCAGCCACCCCTCTGCCAGCCTTCAGCCCTGCCCTGTGGGGTCCTGAGCCAAAAGATGGGTGTAAATAACCCATTTTCTGTAAAGGATGAGCAGCACACGGCATCCGCCTGCTCCAGGGGGTGCCGCAGCTTCAGGTCTGTGCCGTCCCAAGGGGTAGCCCCCAGCAAAAAAAACCCAACAGGACCAG